AAACTTTCGTTGTCGGTTTAAGTTATCTTGTATACATAAGTACTATGAAGGGGGGGGCTTACACAATTTCCTTACTTTTACAGTCCTTGTTATTAATCTTTATGAAACAAAATTAAAGTAAATCTTATTTAGTTCAGAGTCAGGGGCTAAGCGATCGTTGTACATTTCACAGTACGCAAGCAACCCTTGTTCGATCCCCGCGCGCACGAATGAAGTACTTACTGAATTGCAATTTTGAGTGCTGATTTACCACGTGCTTGGCGGTGAAGGAAACATCGTGACATCGTGAGAAAACCTGTCTGATAAATAAAAAAAAATCGAAGACAACTCATATTTGTCTCTGTGTAAATAAATTAAGACGAACAATAAAATGATTTATAAATAATACATATAGACATATATTTACTTTCATATACATGATTGATAGCGCTAATAGTAATAAGCGCTATAAATCATCTTTTGAAATGCGCACAGCTAAGGAGTGTAATACCCTGCCGGCGTCTGTTTTTCCGAGTACCTATAACCTGGACTGGTTCTCTTTAAGGAGCGAGTTGACAGGCTTCCTCTGGGAAAACTCACTCCATCGTAGACCTCATCTTTGCCGCCGAGTCAGGTGAAGGTCAAGAGTGAATCCATTTTAATAATAAAAAATAGGTAAACTGAATCGACGAATGACATGGATTGGTATTATCGAGGTGCACAGCTTTCTGTCTGATTTCGGAGTCCAAAGCGAAATACCGCTTTAATAGTTTAAATTTATGGTAAGAGTATGTAACATAGGCATCGTCATTGCTCACTGGTTAAATCTTTTGTCCTTATGAATATAAATATTCGATTTCGCAAGATAATAGGTCCATATGCTGTACATTTCCACGGTATTCGTTGTAAAAGCCACGACTCCTATGTTTTTCCGTTGGCTGTGGATAAGAAAAACCTCATTAGTGACGCTTTTGTGTGCTTTTGTGTTTATTTTTCTGTTCAGATCTTTAAAATCGGTTTGAGTCGAGAACAAAAAAAATGAGCAGAAGGCCGCCTAAGGCAACTATTCTATGCTCTCGACAAAACACGAAAAATGGTTAAAGTATTTTGTCACCCCGAGAGGTTTTTCTTTATAAAACAAGCGTGACAAACGAAAACACTGTCACAGTCATGTAAAGTGGATGATTTGACTCATAGACATTCACATATATCCTTATTTAAGAAATAAAATGCAGATACTTTGTCACCCCTGAGGACTGAGATGGAATGTATCATTTCAAATAAAAAGGGTCTCGTATTTCCTACACTTAGGTACTATATGAGATAGCAGCACAAGGCTGCTATTTTACGCTGGTATTCTAAGAGAGCATGGCCCTACCTTTGGGAACTTATTTTTTGATTACTGTGAGAAACAACAACGTACTATACCTGTTGGGACATTATTAATTAAATATAGGTAGGTATATTTTATATTAAATTATGGTGAGCGAAATATGGAGGAATTCTATATTTTCTAGCAAAATATTTAAGTCTATACATTTTTATCTTTTAATTAAAGTAACGCCTAAATGTTATTAAATACCAATACAAAAATCGCCTATTATTATAGATATAATTATATCTAATATCATAAATTAAAGTATGTATTCAACAAAATACTCTTTACTCTCTACCGTAGACATGACAGTGAGAAAAAATTCAAGGTGACAGATTGTTAAATGTCATATTAGGAAATATTATAAATATTTAAATTGTTTCTAGATTATTGTTTTAAAAGTGCTAAAATATTTTATTATCATGACTCATTCAATGAGTAGTCCTAAGAATATACAATTAGGTATTCTTATTATTGTTATTTAAGTTTTGCATAAGATTCCACTAAGTTAAATTACGATAGCTGGAGGATTTTCGTGATGTTTGTAGACACAAGGCGACGATATAAGGCTTATATTACATCAATACGGAAAAATGTCGACATGTGTAGCAATATTTACAAACACTGACCACGTATGTGGGATTGTAGCTACATGTGTGTTACAGAACGATTATTTATTACTTTTTTATAAAAGAAGGGTTAGAAACAAGCACAATCTACCTGATGGTAAGTGGATGTTGTGTCCCATAGACATTCACATCTAATCTCGACTAAGAATCACAATGTAGATGCGTTGTTACCCCTGAGGACTACAATGGAGTGCCTCGTTTTCACCATTAAGCTGGTGTTTTACGCGGGTATTCTGTAATAGAGTCTTTCTCAGTTCGAGCCGACTTAGTCATGCTACGAACATGATATAGCTACATCATGGCTCTACCACGTATAATCATCATCATCATCATTACAACCCTTCACAAGTCCACTGCTGAACATAGGCCTCCCCCAAGGTATGCCACAAAGCACGGTCCTGAGCCACCTGCATCCATCGACTTCCTTCATGTCTTACCAGGTCGTCACTCCATCTAGTGGGGGGTCGCCCTACACTTCGCCTACCGGTACGAGGCTGCCACTCGAGAACCTTTTTTCCCCAACGGTTGTCGGTTCTTCGAGCTATATGGCCGGCCCATTGCCACTTTAGCTTACTAATCCGTTGGGCTATGTCGGTCACTCTGGTTCTACTGCGGATATCCTCATTTCGAAGTTTATCACGCAGAGAAATTCCGAGCATAGCCCTCTCCATAGCTCGCTTAGCGACTTTGAGCGTCCTCATACGGCCAGCAGTGAAGGACCACGTCTCGGTTCCGTAGGTCATCACTGGCAACACGTACTGGTTGTACAACTTAGTTTTCAGGTTTTGAGGTATACCTGACAAGAAGATGCGTCGTAATTTCCCGAACGCTGCCCAGCCGAGTTGAATCCGTCGATTGACCTCTCGGTCGAAGTTGGACTTACTTAGTCGGTTTATTTGTCCCATGTAAACTTAGTCTTCAACAACTTTGAGCTTAGTGCTCCCCACAACTACCGGCATAGGTGTGACATGGACATTAAACATGATCTTTGTTTTGTCCATGTTCAACTTAAGATCTATCCGTTGGGAGGCACTATTGAGGTCATTGAGCATAGTGCTTAAGTCCTCCAGCGATTCTGCCAAGGACTATATCGTCAACAAATCGAAGGTGAGTGATGTACTCGCCATTTATGTTAATACCGTATCCTTTCCAGTCCAGTAGCTTGAAAACGTCTTCCAATGCAGCGGTGAAGAGTTTCGGGGAAATAACGTCACCCTGTCTTACACCTCTCTGCAGTTGGATAGGTTTCGTAGTCTGGTTCTGTACTCGGATAGCCATCGTAGCCCTACTGTACAAATACTTCAGCACTTCGATATACCGACAATCAACTTGTCACCGCTGAAGAGACTGTAGCACCGCCCAAATTTCGACGGAATCAAAGGCTTTCTCATAGTCCACATACGCCAGGCAGGGTGGCAGATTGTACTCTTCGGACTTCTGTACAATTTGCCGAAGGGTATGTATGTGGTCTATGGTATAAATTACCTATTAATTATATTTTATGCAGCAAGACTAAGTAAATTGAATAAAACCGTGTGGTGGCAGTGTGAGAATATCGACTCACATATCACACCTATATCGTTCCGTGGGTATAGTAACAAGCGACAGCGGTAAACTGAAATAGGAGATGGGTGGGCAGCAGAATCTTCCTGATATAAATAAAATTGTTAAAAAACTGCGGTTACTAACCCGCTGCCAACCTTGGCAACTATGGCAAATAGGTATCCATTCTATGAGACAATCTATATCTATGGCATATGTTCAGCAGTTAACTTTTATAGACTGTAATGGATGGAATATTATTTGTTGTAATATATGCTTATCTACTATTACAAAATAATTAATGTTGGGTTGTTGCAGTCTTTACAAAAAGTGAACTTTAATGTATACGTAATAAAGAAGTGAATGAGTCGGTAAGGGACGTTTGTTATCCAAATAATTCTATATTAGGTACCAGAAAAAATTAAAATCTGTCGGTGCGAGATCTGATGAGTGATAATCCCAGTAAAATTCTAATAACTTATTACGTGTGATTTTGCCGCATAAAAATGCCCAAACATGGTATTTTCGTGAATGCAATAAACGTGTTTACTTTGTGTGCGTTTTGCCTTAATATTTTTAGATAAACGCTGCAATTGTCCAATGTACGGTTGCACTAAAAGTAGTATAGTATTGTCGTAGTCGTAGTTTAGTATAGTGGGATTTTTAGGCTGCAATATAGATAAAAAATATTCCTTTAGCATAACATTTAAATGAAAACAACTTTTTATTGAGTAGTATCATTGACTTTTGCATATTGTACCTATGTAACGTTAGAAATCTCAGGTCATAGTTATGCGACGAGAGAGCAATTATACATACAGAATTCTACGCGTATCTATGGCTACTCCGCCGTTATTGTTTACAGAATATAGAATCCAGCAACCTCATTTCCATACTTTTTTCTAAAGCAGATATATGTTGAACTATAGTGGTGTGATCAACAGCTAACATAAGTAGGCTTTCTAATAGTCGGGTATTCAGGTATAATAAAACTTTAAAAGAGCCAAAACGAAAGTCGTAATGTATGTACATATACATACTTCACGACTTTATTTATGGCTCTTTTATGTGTATAAATAAGGTAGTTATTTACGCGTATCTAATACAAAAATTCTTGTCTATTAAGTATTACACCAAACTGCGGATAGCAGCTTTCCAGTCAATTGACTGGTTCATTTATGAACTTTTAAGCTTTTAAGATTTACACAAAGATTTAAATACTTTCAAGAAATTGTGAATACCAAACTGTAAAGACGTATACAACACCTCAATAACGATACGCTGCTACATAAATATAGCTGCAGCACGAAAAGATCACCACTTTCATTAGTCTACCACTAATACCAACGTGCTACAGTGTTTCTTATTGAGTGACGAAAATTTTGTATTTTTTTAGTATTCGAAACATATCAGAAGGCTCGGCTTGTATTTGTCCAGTCAATAGCCGAGTTGGCGACAAGATCAACGAACGTGAAATGTCTAATCAGCGCTGGAGTAATTGGTAAGAGAACACCTGTGTAATTAATTACATTTTACAAGCATTTCACGTTCTTTTCAGATCATTATATCAGAGACGTATCTTGCCACTTTTAACTGCATTTAAGAGCAACATATTTATTTATTCGTTTATTTACACTTTATTGGGTATAATATCGGATTGAAAAGAGTGGACTTAATGACTCTAGGCATTCCCTCCCAGTCAACGCGGGACGTGTGGAGATAACGTTATATGTGCCAAAACTAGAAAAGAACAGCAGTAAAATAAGCAATACGACAATGGTACTACTACGTAATAATTCTATGGGTACTACGCACTAAACCAATAAATATAGGTATATGAAAACAGACATCTATGAAAAATACTATTATATATACATATATACATACTTATCTTAATATATATGTGTCACGTTGTTTGTCCGCGATGGACTCCTAAACTACTTAACCGATTTTAATCAAATTTGCACACCGTGTGCAGTTTGGTCCTACTTGAGTGATAGGATAGTTTTTTTTGCTCATGAGTGACCCACAATTTTTTTTTGCGAAGTTAAGGATTTTTAATAGGATATGACAAAGGGTCGTCGACAAGGACAGAACAACGTCTGCCTGGCAAGCTAGTATTCTATATATAAAAAAATAATAACCTGGTAATAGACATATTATATACATAAAAATACTCCTAAGTATATCTATACGTACATACAAATAAACCTAGTTATATAAGATAAGCCACCAAATATAAGATTTATGTATGCACAATCCAAAAAACAATGTTGTTGTTAACTTGTCTTTTAAAAGTATTCACGTACATACCAATTTTTTAGTTGTTTATTGGAAGTAGATAAAAACCTTGATACAAAACATTGTGGTTCCATAGAATTACTTCGCCCCCTGGTATCGGACTCTCATAGCACGGTGCGTCAGTGTGCTGTTGTAGCCGCAGCGAGGCTGGCCGAACACGACGAGGAAGTGGCCCGCCAGTTACTGAACGGGGGCATGGTCACTACCGCACTAGAAAACCTTCACAAATATAATGTTAGTTTTTTTTTGTATTTAAGAAGCTGAGTTTCTCGAGCCTTTTACATTTATTGGTTCCCTACTATGCTATTTTTATGTAGGATTCACTCGGGCGGAATCCGTGAACGAAGAATGTTCAACGTCTGTTGCACACTTGACGGTGTTGAATTGAACTATTGGGTAATTACCACAGAATAAATAATATGGTGTTTATGTCGAAAAATAGTTTTAATTTCATTTCATTTCAAGAAATTCCCAGAACAGGCCGGAGTAAGGAAATTGGTGATTTTTCACCTCCCTGGCTTGGAAAGCACGTAAAACCGCGGTTAACTATGACATCTGGACGTTGAACATCTCAGTCCCGCCCGTGACCATGAGTGCTGTAAAGCGTTCGAAACGTCGAGTATTTAAAAAGTTAAATATACACGATAAATTCCGTAAAAACTAGTATTATTTCAATGTGTAGTGTTTTGGCCAAGTAGCGATCACTCAAAACATAGGGTTCTAGTAACCGGCACAGAATCTGCTTTGACATAATAAAAGGACGACTTTTTTTCTGAAAATCTTTTTAATCACAGTGCTCTGGCCGTAAATATAAGTATATATACGACAAATAACTTTTTCTAGCCATAAATAACTTTTTCTTTTTTATTTAAATACACAGGAATCCCGAAACTGAGTATCTGAAGTTACCTTCAATAATTACTTCACCCGTAGTTATAAATATTTATATACGTGGTACAGCCACGCTGCATCTATATTATGGTTGTAGCACGAATGAGTCGACTCGATCAGGACCAACGCTCTCACAGAATATCAGCGTAAAATAGCAGCGTTATGCTGCTATGTTTCGTATGGTGAGTGTAGAGAACCGGAGACCTGTTTTAGTAGAATCGAGGCATTCCATCTTAGTTCTCAGGGGTGACAACGCATCTGCATTTTGAGTCTTAATCGAGGATAAATGTAGATGTCTATAGGCCACAGCATCCACTTATGATGAGGTGGACTGAGTGCTCCTTTGTCACCCATATTCTATTAAAAAAAGCTAGTTGTAATAATCAATTATATCTGCAGTAAAGATACTACAAAACAACATTGGAAATCATATTTTCAGTTTTTTATGTTACATTATGTGTTACAACCTATTATAACCATAATTGTTATGAAAATGTAACATTGGTATGTTACATTTTCATAACCATTATGGTTGTATCGGTCATATCTCTTTATTTTTTACTTATTATATACTAAATCTTTCTAATTTTTTAATCTGCAGCATCAATATTACACCAATATTTACACACCATGTTTACCAATACTTTCTCACCACGTTTGCCATGTGTAGTTTACGGAACTTGTTTTTTATAATACAATGGCAGAATCCCACTAGTGATGTGCATCCTATTACGAGTCTGTGAAATTAGGTTGGAGATTTTCGAATTAAATATATCAATCACTACTTCGAGACCTTCAGAGCCTCATTAATTTCAAAAAAGTGTTTAGGAAGAAATGTCGGTCAAGTCACCTTAAATAATGCTATAAAAATCTCAATAAAGCTGAATAATAAGAAAGTTCTTACTGAATACTTTGATGGTTGATACGATAAATTATTTATTAAAATCATTGAACGCATTACCCTTAGTTAAAATATTTCCAGGTATACTACAAGAGATCGGCGTTATATTTAATGAGAGCTATTGCCAAGTAAGTATGTAATATGTATTAAAATGTATTATAGTGTATTATGGTAAGGAAATAATACATTTATTGTTTCATGTATTTGGCCGTCACTCGTTACCATGTAAAACCGGCTGTATAACTTAGTAGTCTGTATACTGTCTAATGAGTTACGGGTGCTAAGTTTGTATGCCGGCTGGAATTAATATTTTAGCATAAACACAAACTATTGGTTTTTGTTTTTTCATAAACTAGTCACTTTTTGGTAACAATGTGTTTAACCATTGCTGGTCGAAGTAGCAAGCAATGTCCTCGATCATAAATCATAATAAACGACGGTGAGGACCATTTAAGAATAGCAGGAGGTTAACGAATGCAGGTGGCTCAGGACTGTGCTTTGTGGCATTCCTAGGAGGATTATGTTTAGCAGTGACCATATGAAGGGTTGTTGTAATGATGATGATGAATGGTTATCATATTTAATATTTTTTACAATAATAATTTTATATCATATTGCGTTTGAGTGCGAACACTTTCCATTTTCTCACTCTCAGCCCGGAGATAGATCAGTCCCGGTTGAAACCACCAAATTCATGGCGGAGGAAAAAAGTCCAAACCTCTTTTCCGACTTTTTTCCGACTCGGAACCGACCGTCAAACTTTTTTCCGACTCGGAATCCGAACCTGTCCGGGGTTGTTGCTTTAATTTTACATGACAAGCAGGCGCCACTGGACTAACATGGCGATCGTATGTCACGCATAATAAGCGTTTTAACAAGTAATAAATTAACGAAAATATTTTTAAATAAGTACTTGTTGGAAGCTCTGAAAGAAATTAAATTTTTATCTTTTTTCGTTTTTATTTTATACCTATCAGTTTTTTATACAAATTATTCTAATAATAATATAATTAAAAGAAAGACATCTAGTCGTCCATATTTCCTTATTTCCAATATACGGTTCTTAATCATAAATAAAAGAACTGGAGATGTGTTATTGTGCCCATTGCTGCTGATGAGGCGTCATCGATAAAAAGACTAGTCTTACTTTCACAATATACAAACAATTTACACATTTCACGAACTACCTTTTGACAGATTTAATAACAATTATATCTGCGGTAATCTTATTTAATCCAGACGCCATTTTTGTATCGTTAACCAGGGAATCTAAGATTCATTAGGGTCTATGTAAATTTAGAAAGTTACAATTTTTTTTTTAATTCTAGGCATAACGATGAACTTGCCTCTATGCTTGTACGTCTTGGTGCATTGGAACATATAGTGAATTGCCTAGAAGACTTTGATACTCAGGTAGGTATGATAAAATTAAATTGAGAATTGTGATTTTAACATCATTTAATAATTCTTGCCATAAAATTTTGATGTTGACATTTTTAGGTAAAAGAAAATGCAGCTTGGGCTTTGGGCTATATTGGAAAACATAACGAACAATTAGCTGGACAAGTGATAGACGCTGGAACACTTCCTTTGTTAGTGCTGGCTTTTCAAGAACCCGAAATAAGTCTTAAACAGGTAAGAGCCCAAAAAATTGAGGTAATATATTTTGTAAATAAAACGTATGTCTATTTGAAAAAATATTAAAAACGCAGAAGCATATTTAAAAATATCTATGTAGATCACGGCGGGTGCGCTGGTGGATCTGGCGCAACACAAGCCGGAAGCCGTGGTCGATGCGGGTGCAATTTGTCATTTAGTCCGTGGGCTAGATAACCAAGACCCTAAATTGAAGGTAAATTATCTAAGTTGATGCTTAACCTGTAGCAAGAACATTACAATATTTAATAGAAATTTTGTATTTTTTTATCATAAAAACAAAGCAAAACACATTTATTAAAGTTAGAACCTAGGAATGCACGTATATTTGAAATACGAAAGGAATTGTGGCAACGTTTTGCATAATTTGCTTTGCAATGGTTACAATTTATATTGGAGAAGTGGGTATAATTCCTCTACTGCTTGTATGGAGTAATAGAATTACCACGCAATTTAAAAATCAACACATTATTCGATGTTATGAAATACGCTTATTTCAGTAAAAGAAAACATATTATTAATAATAAATACGTAAATGTTTACAAAGATCATGTCTCACATTGTAAATTGCAATTCATAAATACATACAAATCATTGCGGCACTGAGAGCACCCACAAGGAACTCAAGTATCTAATATTTGTACCTGCATACATAGCCTGTAAATAATTGTTTCGGGTTTTGATAATGGCCTTGAACAATTTATGGTTGTAAACTGCCCGTACGATACTGAACAAAATCGTAGTGTAGGAAGAAGGTTTGTATACAAATAAAAATAAATAAGTACAGGAGCAGCAATGCGCCGGCGATCAAGTTGCCGTCAAATCCCCTGTGAAAGAGTATACAGTAACACCACCGCTCTCTACTGTACTGGGAAAAATACCTGCATTGTCCCGTGGGTGACGTCTCTGTATCCGCCCTTGAGATAACAGTAAAAATGCTACATAAACAGTGTTAAAAGGCGTTTTTAAATGTCACGTATCTTTTCGCGCAGACTTTACAATGAATTCATTGTAATCATCTGGCTATTTTAGAGTGGACGTTTTACGTTAAGATTAGAGGTGTTTGTGTCTTATGCAAACAGCGTAGCGTGCTGTGTGCACTGAGCGCGGTGGCTGGCGGGCGGGCGGAGCTGGCGGAGCTGGCGGAGGTCGTGGTGGCAGGCGGCGCGCTGCCGCCGGCCCTGCTGCACGCGGCGCACCACGCTGCACCCGTACGCCGCGCTGCTGCCTGCCTGCTTAGAGACATCGTTAAACACTCCATTGATGTTAGATGATTCAATTTCTGCTACTTTTAATAGGAGGTATGACTCTTTCTCTGTCGAGGAGACCGTCCGGTTTGGCAGCTCGCTGCATTGCTGTGTTCCGGTCTGAAGGGCATAGAAAGCCAGTATGATTATAGACTGTGAGGAATTCAATTTCAATCCTCAGAAGCGACGCCACATCTGTAACCTCCTTTGTTTTAAGTAGGTTCCATTGAGGGCATCCACGACTTTTTCTGCCACCAGAGTGGCGCCACTTAAAAATAAGGTGTAATATTATGTTAGACAGATTTCATAGCGTGGAGTGTGGAGTTATTCGATTTTTATTAGATATTATGTAGATTTATTCGATAATTTTAAAGTTTAATGTTTCGCTATGTACTATTAGTGATGTTTTATATTTATTAGATTAAAAAATAAACCAAACCAGAGATATTCATAAAAGTAATTTTTATTTAAAAAAAACATTAAAATGTGAATAAAGTTAGTAAGGAAACCGCTGAGGCATTGTTTTGTGTATTAATATAATACTCTAGAAACTGATAGACGTTTATTAAAAACTAACTTCTCAATTAAATGACATTGTGTAACAAAAAACTTCACCTCAGTGTCAACTAGCGACACCTGGTGAGCGGAAAATTATTAGCCCTCATTTTGCAAAGGCTGTGCAGTATTCTCATCATCAGGTGGACTGTAAGTTCGATTGTCACTTTAATTTTACTAAAAGAGCTAATTCACCACTTATTTTAAAAGAAATTAAAGTGCTAACGAGCCTACAGTCCTACTGATAGTAAGTGAATCCTACTCTGCCAGTCTAAAAGGCGAAAAATATGAACTTCTTATTTTTTCTCCTACGTGTTAAAGTAGTAGAGTCGTGCTGCAACTCAATTATGGTATAAGCACCATTGGGTCGGCTTAATTTTAGAACCAGACTCACAGAATACTAGCATAGTACTGCTGTGATCAGATCTGTATGGTGAGTGTAGAATAACCGGAATGTCTTTTAACTGGTAACGGCGCATTTCATTTTAGATCTTAGAGGCGACAACGAATCTGTACCTTGATTCCTGGTGGATGATAAATTTAGGTGTCTATGAGTCACAGTCGTCTAGTTTCCATCAGAACTCTGTGTTCTTTCATCACCCTTACTATAAGTATAACCGATGAAAGGGTCACAATCCAGGTGATGGTAAATAAGTGGCTACAGCAACGTACAACAGACACCTGTAACTAAATCAGACACATCTAAGAAAGAAGCCTACTTTTGTTACCATTGAGGACTGTGATTGAGTCCCTCACAAGCGATAATTATACTGGCTTTTATATCCTTCAAACCGGAATACAATAATGGATGCATATCTTACTATTTATTTCTACTTAGACGTACTTTTCTTTTTAATCAGCCCGTGAGTCCACTGATGGTAAGTGGATGCTGTGGCCCACAGACATTAATCCTCGATTAAGAATCAAAATGCAGATGCGTTGCCACCCCTGAGGACTAAGATAGAATGCTTCCTTTCCAGTAAGAAGGGTCTCCGGTTCTGTACACTCATCATACAAAACACAGCAGCGTTATGCCGCTACTTTACGCTGGTATTCTGTGAGAACACGGTTCTTCCCCGGTCGAGCTACAACTATACTACTAATATAGCTGCAGCATGGCTCTACCACGTAGAAACTGAGTGAGTATTTTAAGTCTGGCGTAAACGAGTAGGTTATACCGCCATTTTTCGGATGTCATTAAATGTTTCTGTATATCCCATTTTCTAGTATGTCGCATAGTGAGCTACGACACCTGCGATTACTTTTACGCCGCTACCACTCGGCAACCCTAGGCGTACATTTAGGTAGAAAAAATTGCCCTAACACCAAGAATGGCAATATTTTTTTATTATTGTTAGTCACGAATAGTTTTTTACATTATTCTGACAAAACATAATGTATAATAGTTTCTCAAATTTATACTATTATTGATTTGCAGTTGGCGCAATTAGTCGTTAACACTGGAGGATGTGGTCCACTAGTAGAGTTGCTGGCTGAAAATACCGGAGGTTCGCGCGTACCAGCTTGTATGGCGCTTGGCTTCATTGCAGGACAATCAGATCAACTAGCCATGGCAGTTATCGAATCAAAGGTTCATTATTTAAGTACTTATCTGTTGATAAAGATAAGTTCGTATTTTTACGTAATTTTTTACGTATGGTTTGCGTAAAATTGCGAACTAAGAACTCACAGTATATGATTAGCACACACACGCACGCACGCACGCACGCACGCACTCACGCACGCACGCACGCATGCACGCAAGCACGCACGCACGCACGCACGCACGCACGCACGCACTTAAAATACTCACTCAGTTTCTTCGTGGTAGAGCCATGCTGCAGCTATATTAGTAGTATAGTTGTAGCTCACATACACATACAACACACACACACACACACACACACACACACACACACACACACACACACAAGCACACACACACACACACACACACACACACACACACAAGCACACACACACACACACACACAAGCACACACACACACACACACACACACACACACACACACACACACAAAACGCGCGCGCGCGCACGCACACGCACACGCACACGCCACACGCACACACACACACACACACACACACACACACACACACACACACGCGCGCACGCACACGCACACGCACACGCACACGCACACGCACACACGCACGCACACACACACATACACACACACACACTCAATGATATTTATATACAAAAAGATCATTATGCACACATAAATAGATAAGAGGTGCTATAATTTCAATTACCTGCCCTTTTTGGTGCTGAGGTTATCATTAGCTAATAACCTACACTATTTTTCCAGCAAACATATTAGGTATAGTGTTTTTAAATACACATAAATCTACTTAGTAGGTACATTGTATAAGTTAATAAATTATAAAAAGTTTGCTACAATTCTGACACATAGCGAAATCATTTTCTGTACGTGGCGTTTTCAACTCATTCGAACACTTACCTATCTCGTTTTACATTCTTGCAATGTAACATGAGCATGAGATAAGAAGGTTACCGTTTACTTAGAACGCAGGATTTTTTTTATATATTGACGTTAATGGTCGGAATACCTAGCTACATTTCGTTACCGTTACAGCCTATTAAAGTCCACCGCTGAACATAGGCCTCTCCCATAGATTGCTTTATGGGTAGGGTGGATATTTGCCGTAGTTGCTTGGCAAGCGGATTGGCAATCGCATTTTTTTATTTTTAGTCTTTATTAGGAGAACGCTGCTGCCCATCTGATTTATTTCTGATAAGGTGGTGGCTAGGCGTCACCCACATCCCACCTTTAAGGTGCCGTATGCGACGACAAATCTGCTCAGGTTTGCGCCTATGTGCTTTAAAATTCATGAATATTATTTCCGAAGAAACAGACATTTACCACTGCAGCCTGGCACAGTTCACAGAAGCGGCGCACAGGGTTTGTGAGATTTATTTTCAATAATTATTTTTTTTTTAATTATAATAGGTATATATTTCTATGTTAATAGTTATAATTATCAGTTTTTGTTTGTTTTTTGTACAGCATTGTGTTGGTCTTGTACTGTTATGGTGCTGTGACTGTTTTTATAATAAATAAATAAATTTCCCTCTGTCACCTCTTACGACACCCACGAGATGAAATGGGGTGGTGGATATACTTACAGCGCCACACGGTAAACAACCGCTACATTCGTCAACAAACATCGTGCAGTAACACAAGTTGTAGTTCTTCGTGTCTGGATTCGTAGCGATTGTCCCCCATTTCTAACACTGCATCTACAGCTTGGTAAACCTAAAGGAAAAATAAGCGGTATCAACGGCGCCCGTAAGAAGTGTGATTAAAGAAGTTAGAATCAAGAGAGAGCCTTGTTACAGAGTACTTCATATAAACCCAAATCGTAGCTTAATTCGACCTTGTTTGCATCCAAGCCTAACTTTGGTCCTATTGCGCTATAGTTTATCGTAGGTAAGTTCAGAAGAATGAGAGCACTATATTATATCTTGCGCAGTTAATTACTTCCGAAAATATATAAAAGTTGACGCCGTAGTTTACTATTTCCTCATTAATTATCTATTAACCAGTCCCTCTGAATGACTTTTATTTCAACAAATGTTAACTTGTACAGTTTAACTGCTGAGGATTATTTATATTTTCTATACCAAAAATAATGGTACAATATCATATTATTTATTTTCAAAAATAATTTATTTTTTCAGGCAGTTCCATCTCTAGTGGAGATTCTCCAGAATAACGAAGCAGAGGAAGCTGAAATTTGTGCAGCCGCTTGGACTTTAGGTCACATTGCTAAACATTCTCCTCAACATAGTCTAGCAGTAGCTGTTGCTAACGCTTTCCCAAGATTGTTGCAGGTTATAAGCATAAAATTTGTACACAACTAATTTATTAATCAAAATATAATTAGCTTATACACTTTTGGATTTAATGAATTGATGGACATTTAAATGGATTTTTCGAAATCAGTCCATCAGTTCTGGTGAATTTTTCTAATCATCCTTCACATCACAGCCTATAGAAGTCGGTTGCTGACCATAGGCCTCCTCTTAGATTGCCTCATAAGGGGGATATTTGCCATAGTTGCCACGAATGGCAGGCAAGTTGGCAACTGCAGTGTTGTTTGTTATTTGTTATCGGAAGACACTGCTGCCTATCTCCTAGTTTATATCCCTCTGTCGCCTTTTATGACTCTCACTGGATGATATGTGGTAGTGGATATTTTTACACCATTGCATGTTGTGTACGGTGAATTATTATTACATCTACAAATATATTATGGTTGTAGCACGAATGGATCGGTTCGACCGGGGAAGGACAACGCTCTCACAAAATACCAGCTTAATACTGCTGTGTTTCGTATTCTGAGTGTTGAGATCAGGAGACCCTTTTTACTGGAAACGAGGCATTCCATCTTAGTCCTCAGTGGTGACAACGTAAATTGAACAAAAAATTTTTTGATTCTTAACCGAGATAAATGTAGATGTCTATGGGCCACAGCATCCACTTACCATCAAGTGGACTGTGTGCTCATTTGTCACACTTATTCTATAAAAAATAAATCAAATGGTTCATACTTCCGGAAATGCATAAAAGCTAAATTATTAAATTATTATGAAATTTCTTTAACCAATTCAAAGAAAACAGAAAAAATACATTGGATATTTATATACAGTCACTATGAAGAAAAATTGTTGTCAATATTATGTAGTATTATTTTTTATTGTGTAGTTATACACCGATCCAAAATCATCTGGAGAAATGAGAGCTCGAGCATTGTGTTGCTTGAAACAGTCATTACAATGCTGTCTACATAGACCTGCACTTGAGCCACTTCTACATGCAGCTCCTGCTTGTGTATTGAAATATGTACTGGCTCAATATGCCAAGGTAAACATATTGATATTGATTTTAATAATATGTAGTGCTAGTAGTTGAATGGATGACCTTTTCCATAGCCACATCTTAGGTAACTAATGGTTTAAAAGAAATAATGGTCTCTAATAGATGATGCTAAATCATCTCATATAATACTTATACTTGTGTGTGAAATAACTAGAGTAGTGACAGGAGCAGTTTCAGCTTAATAACACTAATATCCCTACCAATCGATGCCTTTTAAAAACACCTTACTAAAAAATTTGATACATGTCCAGTTATGGTTTCATAAAGAACAAAAGATAGGGATATTGGCAACGCACCTGCAGTTCCCCTGGTGTTGCGGATGTTCATGGGCGGCGGAAGCCACTTAACATCAGATGAACCGTATGCTCGTTTGCCCCCCTTCTATAAAAAATATTTAATGTGTTGCACCATGAATTTAAAAATATAGCAGCAGTGCAAAAGGGCAATTCTTTATCTTCAAGATCTTTATGTACATAAAATATGTTTAGAATAAAATATTTTTTATTCTAAACTAGTCGAAACAAAATAGGGCCCACCACGTTTTAGGCTGTTTTTATGTTTATCTGTTTTTTGTGGACAGATATACTTAGGCTAGGGATTAAGAAATTGTTTCAACATAATCAATATTAAAAGTTACTTGTCTGTTTAAAAACACAATTTTTAGGAAAATTATATATAAATAAAAGAAAAAACTTAGCCTATCACATTTTTTTATGATTATTATTTGAGCAGTGTTATGCTTAGTAGCGAGTGGGGCCCCTTCTACTCTGTATGCACTCCCTGAGCCTATCTGGTATGCTTTCGATGAGATGGGTAACATTTTCTCCCGGTGTTAGTTCCCAACAGACTTTTTGAGTTCCGGGTCGACTATTTTATCTAACTGTAGTTCTCTTTTAGGCTTCTTTTCAGTTAATCCCATAAATGTTCAATGGGATTGAGGTCGGGATTCATAGCAGGCCATGGCAAAACTGTGTTACTGGCATTAGAAAGAGCTCTTTGTGTGATATGGGCTATATGTTGATGAGCATTATCTTGCATTAACACAAAACCAGCAACTACTCTTTGTGAAAATGTAATAACATGAAGTCGGATTACTCACTCAACGTCAACAACCAGCTCTGTTTTGCTTACTAAGCTTATTCCACCCCACACCATAACCCTTGGACACCCGAAACAGTCTGTTTCATGGATGCAGGGTTCTGTAAATTGTTCGCCTTGTTTTTTCCACACGCGTATTTGTTTCACATCACTGTAAAACGACCTTACAATCATTTATGAAGGGTACCGTGCTCCAGTTATCCATTGTCTAGTCCAAATGTTCACGAGTATACCTTAAACGAGCTACACAATGAGTCCTCGTCAATTTGAGTTGAACAGCACATGCCCCGAAATGTTGGCCATCTTAATGGAGTCGATTACGAATGGTTTCTAATCACTGACATATGTACCAGTAGAATGCCGCAGTTGGGTTTGTGAGGTCTGGATGGTTATGGTATCCTCTTGACGTGCAGTAAACCTGATATAGCGGTCTTCATGACCGGTTGTAGCTCTAGCTCTTCCTGTTTCAGGTCTACTAGCCACACTCCCGGTTTCCTGGTAACTCTCCCACATGTTTCAGATAGCTCTTCTGTTCTGACATGTATTGCTACATATCTCAGAGACTCTCACTCCTGACTGCTTCAAGAGCAACTGCTCTAGTTGCGATTTCCATGTTCATATGTTCAAGAAAGCAACATTGTTGAACTGCAACTTAGAGTCACACTGAGCACACAAGTGACAAAATTTCTACATTTCATGTTCTTTGCAAATACTTCACTTTTTTGGCTACCCACTTGAATAAAATGCTCAAGTTGTCACTCGTAACATTGATAATGATTAGTAAACAAGTCAACTACACAATCGAATGCTTTATTTTGGTAAGGTTTTGAGTTATTTTAAGACAAAAAATAAATAAATTAATATCACTTTATTGCCACTTTTAAAAAACATGTTTACATATAAACTAATTACTTAACCTTAATTAAATTTAGGCAAACGGCGGTGACTCAGCTTTTGCTTACATGGAACTAAGATCCCATGAAGCGCTGGTTTCCAGGCACTCCTTCCTCCCTGAGATGTTACATGGGTGTTATAAGAATTTCGAGTTCCCCAATTACCTCTATCATTTACTCATCTATTATTGGAATTTAACATAGTATGGTTGTGAAATTTCATAATTATTTATTAATAATTCTTGCATTCATGCGTGATTGTTCAGTTTATAATACATGGGGATGTTTTTTAAGGGTTATACTAAAATGTTAAAAAAAGGTAAAAGATTAAAAAATAAAAATTAATGAGTCCTTATTTTATTTTAAGTAGTTTTGTTTAGGTTACATGCAATTCTAATTAAGTCATGTTTTACTTTTATTACCGGTTCGGAAAAAACTTGGATAGAATCATTAAGAATTTTATGATCTGTGATCATCTTATTACAAAATATGGTTTATTGATCATCTTTATCTATAAATTTATTTGTTATTTTATTTGGCTAACCAACAGTGGGTACACTAAAATTAATCAAACACATCAGTAATAATACTAAGTAATGCCTCACTATTTACAGGTTATCACAGCATGTACCAATATAAAGTAACTATTAGTATATTATAAAATAAAACAAAATCAACAATTTAACAATGATACAGCATAATGATTTCATTCAACATTATTTACATTACATATTTAAGTTACATTTATAGTTGTCTTTTTAATGAAAGAAGTCATACTTTACATTTTAGTTTGCATATTTTTCACAGATCCTCCTTTTTTGAAAGAGAGTTAGTTTAACCCAGAGACTGATTATAAAATTGGGGCTAAAGGCACATTAGGGAAGAAGAAATGGCAGCTCTTATGCTTCTGATATATCCAGATGTTGCTTTTTAACTCAGTTAAGTTTGCACTTGATGCAAATGTAAAAACAATCCAAATACTAAATAAATAGAAGACGAAAATTAAAACAAACTGTACTGAGGTGACTGTATGATCAAGAGGTGCAAACTTAGCTCAACCGGGTTGTACAAACTAAATCTCTTTCTGAGGTCTTCACCCACTAGGGGTTTATGGAACTTCTTAGAGGAGATTTAAAATATGCTCAAGACATGGAATAGCAAAAATAGCCAGTTGCAAACAAAACTAAACTGAAAATTTTTTACTGTTTATTTTTACAAATGTGTAGGCTAATAAACAGGTCCATCATCAAGATTGTCATCTTCTTCATCATAATCTTCTCCATTGTCAAAATAATTGTTTGCATAATCTGTACCTTCATCAATTTCATACTCTTGTTCTTCTTCATCTTCTAATTCTTCATCGTCATCATCATTTTCTTTCTTGACAGTATCCTCATCCTTGTTTTCTGTTTCTACCTCTGCATTTTCATCTAAGGTTTCTTTCTTTTCAAGAGTTTGAAGTTTTTTATTTATATCAGTTGCATCATCAAGCTTGCGTTTTCGAGAATTCATTCGAATTTTGCTTGCTTGCGGTCTCAATTCTGCTGGCATATTTACCCACACACAATCTAGCACTTTTCCTTGCTTCGCATCAAGTGCTAATTGTTTATACTTATCAGAATAACGTTCTATACCGTCTGTTCGCAAGTTTGGTTTAACATACGCAGGTGTTTCATGTAAATATTCAATAAATTGATCCTTAACAATAAGCATATAGTCCGTCGCAGCATCACAGCTCAGGGGCAAAGGTTTCGCTTCAAGTTTTGGAAATAATGGTGGCGGAGCGAGTGTTGCTGTCGTATTTTCTCCTCGTGCAATGCCAAGAGCTTGAAGTTGTTCTTGAGTAAACGATAATCCACCGCCCCGTCCTCTACCTCTACCTGCCATTGTGCATAGTATCTTATATTGCAATGTTATTATGAAAATAATTTAATTAAAATAATATTGTAAAAGGCCAAGCGTTATTAATTTCTTGTTTTTGTTATGACATTACTATTACAGTAAGGTTACTAAGGTTAGATGTCCATCTGTCAGTGTCACTGTCATTGTGTGAAGAAAACCATTGACATAGGAGTGTAGAAGCAAGGAGTACAGACTGTGTATTAAAAAGTGTCCATAAAAACCTTTAAATAAGGGTGGCGCCACTATAGCTACGGGGTAAATTTTAAAGAACGCACCGAAAAATATTAGGGGGATAGACGACTTTTTCAAGGTTATATTTATTAAATAAAATTATTTTAGATTTTAGAGCTACTGAGCAGTTTAGCAGCACACTTAAACCGTCGACAACTGCTAAGTTCATTTCATCCCAGTAGCTACTCCAGCGCTGTTGTGGAGAGTTTTTGAACTGTAATTTACCGCTTACAGATGACCACTTTTTCAGCTATTCTACTATAGGAGTTGGTACTCCTTACTTTTACACTCCATACATTGACATAAATACATAATATCTATGGTAATAACAACAACTCTTAGGCGTACATTACACGCTCATGCAGGCAGTCAGTTTTACAACAATTACGGTTGTGATTGACGAATAACCTACCGTGTAATGCAGTGATTGACGCCTACATGAGCGCGTAATGTACGCCTATCAGTGACCATCCGTTTTTTATCAATCATGATTGATGAAATTGATTGACGCCGGCATTAGCGTGTAATGTACGCCATAGGCGTACATTACGCCCTCATGCAGGCGTCATTCACTGCATTACACGGTAGGTTTTTCGTCAATCACAACCGTGATTGTTGTAAAACTGACTGCCTGCATGAGCGTGTAATGTACGCTTTAGAGTAATTAGTAATTGCTAATTACATACATACGTATGCATAAAGAGAATACAATTCTACATAGAGTCAATATACATACTTGTCTCGCTTTTCAATTTAATTTTCATATAAGGCAATAAGAGACGAATCTATTGAAAGATGTTACGTGTAAATCATGCGTGGAAATAGAATTGTCAAGAGGTCATCTTTGGTCTCTTTATACTATGCCAAATATGAGAGGAAGTACACTCCTATCTTCTGATTTACTAGAAA